CCCCAAAACCCCAAAACCCCAAAACCCCAAGTTAAAATAATTTAGTAAATGGACTTTCTAGCAATTTTTAGAGGCTTTTTGGGGAAGTTCATTAGGTTTTAGGTACCAGAAGAGTGCAGATGGGTTGGAAGGAGGCTTAAGAATACTCTTTCTTAGCAATATGTCGGTCTAGAAGTCAAGGATAGAGATCGTACCTATTAGAATATCCCTGAGTAACTTCTCTTTGGTAATAGTCCTATTCAAATTCTCTGCTTGTCTCTCCCTCTTCAGTGCATTCTCTTCATTGATCAGGGCTTGCTTGAGGCTCAAAATTTGAGGCTTAGTTGGAAGAGACGATTCTACCTCTCCGTTATCTAAAAACATTTGTTAATTTATCCCCTTGAGATGTTCTAGGCTTACCTTTCTTGTTAAGAAATCTGATCTTGTTCTTAATCTTTGTGTAATAATCTTCCTTCTTAATAGTCTCTACCTTAATATTTTCCTTCAAAGTTTCTAAATAAAAAAGTCAGGATTATGGCTGAGACGGTAATAAGAAGAGATTTATGGCTTAGATCAAAGATTTTTGATAATTTTCGAAGTAGGATTGGTAAAACCATGCTCATTTGTGCGATCAGTAAGCCAACCACTCAGAGAATTGGTCAATAATGTATCATTAAAATCTTATCGACATTTTAACACTAAGATTTTTCTCAGCCTTACTTTGCTTTTCAAAAGATTTTATTTTCATTTTGGTTTTCAGGCCTATAAATAATTCAAAACATTACTCTTAAGAGCTTTGGTCTTGGCTTTCAAGGAGGAGGAAATTCTAGTTTGCTTCTTCACAAAATTAGACATTGCAGATTCCTCAGCCAGCTTAATGATATCTTGATGCCTCTGTTTGTTCCTCAGAATTTTCTCCTACAAAGTTAGAAAAGGTATACAGAGTGTTGTCTTTGTTTCTCAGAACGTTCGAGTGATGCCTTTTCCATCCTTTTAGAAGACTCTATATTTATATTTATTACAAGAAGTGGGGAAAGGCTTTACCTTCAAGTTTTCTAGTGAGACTCTGCAAATCTTCTTTGGAGGTATCTACTTCAGGGAGTTTACATGAACTAATAGGCTTTGTTCTGACTATTACAGACTCTGAAGGGGACCTCAGCTTGATCTTATTGGCCTCCTTCTGCTCTTTCAGGTAGCTCTGGTAGCTGGCTCTATCAAATTCTCTATCCCTGCGATCTCTGTAAGCTTTAGCATTGAATAACTTCTCTTCTAGTTTGGTGTTATTTAACCGAAGTATAGCGCTTTTTCCTATAAAAAGTTATCAGAAAATCTACATCAGATCCTTGATAACCTTCAATTTGTGCTTAGTCTTCTTCAGGTATTTCTGTTCTAACAAATAGCATCTCAAACTTACCTATCTCCTTTGACTTAGTCGAGTAAAGGTCTAGAGCTTTCTGTTTGGCTAGTTTTCTTCTTTCACTCCATTCTTGAAAAAGATCATTTTTCTATCATTAGATAAAAATTTACATCTTTTATTTTAATGTTAGTGTAATCAACACTTTTATTTTGATTCTCCCGCTTTATAAGTTCCTTTTCTGAAGTTTCACTTTGGGTGTTCAGATCGATGGTGTTGGCCTGAGTCAGTGAGAAAAAGCCTCCCTGGTTCTGATTTACAGATGGAAGTGACAAACCAGGTTGCATGTTCTTTTTCCTATTTGGTTTGAGATATACTCCATTCCTTCTAGTATTTTTAATATAACTGAAAGTTTCAAATTTATCCTTCAGAAGGCCAATTCTTCTCCACCTTTTGATATCAAAATGTTTCTTACGGATCTGCTTGATGAGGTCAAATTCACTGGGATTTCCAAATTTATTGAGGTCTTTTATATCCCTTAGCTCTTCAATATCAAAGCCAAGCTCACCACATTTGAGGGACATAACTTTGAAATACTTATTATGTGAGGAGAATATCTTCCTGGAGAACGCCTTCAAGCTGGGAGAAATCTTAAGGATTTTGTCTTGAAGATAATCATTATCTGAGAATAATTGTTTGTTGCCTCCTATAAATTATAAGTCATGCGTTTAGTTGCAAAATTACCAATAATGTCTAGTGTATCTAATTTGTCTTTAGACCTTGTGTGTCTGGTCTGATCAGTGCCTAGGAGAGTTGACTGAGACCCTATCTTTGGCAGACTTGAAATTCTAGAGATATTAGCATCAAGAAAAGAAGGAATGCATTACCTATTCATTTTATTTGCAATATATTTATAGATAATAGGGGTTTTGGGGTTTTGGGGTTTTGGGG